TGCATCAACTAATGGGCAAAACAGCCAGCTAGCATCAAAATGACAGGATCAAATTCACACATAACAATATTAACCCTAAATGTAAATGGGCTAAATGCCCCGATCAAAAGACACAGACTGGCAAATTGGATAAAAACCCAAAACCCATCAGTGTGCTGTATCCAGGAAACCCATCTCACATGCAAGGATACACAAAGGCTCAAAATAAAGGGATGGAGGAAGATTTACCAGGCAAATGGAGAACAACAACAACAACAACAATAACAACAACAAAAGCAGGAGTTGCAATTCTCATCTCTGATAAAATAGACTTTAAACCAACAAAGATCAAAAGAAAGAAGGACATTACATAATGGTAAAAGGATCAATGCAACAAGAAAAGCTAACGATCCTAAATATATATGCACCCAATACAGGAGCACCCAGATACATAAGGCAAGTTCTTAATGACTTACAAAGAGACTTAGACTCCCACACAATAATAGTGGGAGACTTTAACACTCCACTGTCAATATTAGACAGATCAACAAGACAGAAAATTAACAAGGATATCCAGGACTTGAACTCAGACCTGGACCAAGCAAACCTAATAGACATTTACAGAACTCCCCACCCCAAATCCACAGAATATACATTCTTCTCAGCACCACATCGCACCTACTCTAAAATTGACCATATAATTGGAAGTAAATCACTCCTCAGCAAATGCAAAAGAATGGAAATCATAACAAACAGTCTCTCAGACCACAGTGCAATCAAGTTAGAACTCAGAATTCAGAAACTAACTCAGAACAGCACAGCTTAATTGAAACTGAACAACTGGCTCTTGAACTGGCTCTTGAATGTTGACTGGATAAACAATGAAATGAAGGCAGAAATAAAGATGTTCCTTGAAACCAATGAGAATGAAGACACAACATACCAGAATCTCTGGGACACGTTTAAAGCAGTCTCTAGATGAAAATATATAGCAATAAATGCCCACATGAGAGGCAAGGAGAGATCTAAAATTGATACCCTATCATCAAAATTGAAAGAGCTAGAGGAGCAAGATCAAAAAAAAAAAAAACCTCAAAACCTAGCAGAAGACAAGAAATAGCTAAGATCAGAGCAGAACTGAAGGAGATAGAGACACAAAAACCCTTCAAAAAATCAATAAATCCAGGAGCTGGTTTTTTGGAAAGATCAACAAAATAGACCACTAGCCAGATTAATAAAAAAGAAAAGAGAGAATAATCAGATAGATGCAATAAAAAATGATAAAGGGGAAATCACCACAGATTCCACAGAAATTCAAACCATCATCAGAGATTATTACAAACAACTCTATGCACATAAACTAGTAAACCTGGAAGAAATGGATAAATTCCTGGACACTTGCATCCTCCCAGGCCTAAACCAGGAAGAAGTTGAAACCCTGAATAGACCAATAACAAGGTCTGAAGTTGAGGCAGCAGTTAAGAGCCTACCACCCAAAAAAAGCCCAGGTCCAGATGGGTTGACAGCCGAATTCTACCAGACATACAAAGAGGAGCTGGTGCCATTCCTTCTGAAACTATTCCAAATAATCCAAAAAGAGAGAATCCTTCCTAAATCAATTTATGAGACCAACATCATTCTGATACCAAAACCCAGCAGAGACTCAGCAAGAAAAGAAAACTTCAGGCCAATATCCATGATGAACGTAGATACAAAAATCTTCAATAAAATACTGGCAAGCCAATTGCAACAGCACATAAAAAAGCTTACCCACCATGATCAATTCGGATTCATCCCGGGGATGCAAGGCTGGTTCAACATGCGCAAGTCTATAAACATAATTCACCACATAAACAGAACCAAAGACAAAAACCACATGATTATCTCAATTGATGCAGAGAAGGCCTTTGACAAAATTCAACAGCCCTTTATGCTAAAAACCTTCAATAAACTAGGTATTGATGGAATGTATTTCAAAATAATAAAAGTTATTCACGACAAACCAACAGCCAATATCATACTGAATGGGCAAAAACTGGAAGCATTCCCTTCAAAATCTGGCACTAGACAAGGATGCCCTCTCTCACCACTCCTATTCAATATAGTACTCGAAATTCTAGCCAGAGCAATCAGGCAAAAAAAAAGAAATGGTATTCAAATAGGAAAGGAGGAAGTCAAATTGTCTCTATTTGCAGACAACATGATTGTATATCTAGTAGACCCCATCGTCTCAGCCCCAAATCTCCTGAAACTGATAAGCAACTTCAGGAAAGTCTCAGGATACAAAATCAATGTGCGAAAATCCCAAGCATTCCTATACACCAATAACAAACTTAAAGAGAGCCAAATCAAGAATGAACTGCCATTCACAATTGCTACAAAGAGAATAAAATACCTAGGAATACAACTAACAAGGAACGTAAAGGACCTCTTCAAGGAGAGCTACAAACCACTGCTCCATGAAATAAGAGAGGACACAAACAGATGGAGAAATATTCCATGTTCATGGTTAGGAAGAATCAATATTGTGAAAATGGCCATACTGCCCAGAGTAATTTACAGATTCAATGCTATCCCCATCAAGCTAACAATGACCTTCTTCACAGAACTGGAAAAAAACACCTTAAACTTCGTATGGAACCAAAAGAGAGCCACATAGCCAAGTCAATTCCAAGCAAAAAAAACAAAGTGGGAGGCATCATGCTACCTGACTTCAAACTATACTACAAGCCTACAGTAATCAAAACAGCATGTTACTGGTACCAAAACAGAGATATAGAAAAATGGAACAGAACAGAGGCCTCAGAGGCAGCACAACATATCTACAACCATCTGATCTTTGACAAACCCGACAAAAACAAGCAATGGGGAAAGGATTCCCTGTTTAATAAATGGTGTTGGGAAAACTGGCTAGCCATGTGCAGAAAGCAGAAACTGGAACCCTTCCTGACACCTTACACTAAAATTAATTCCAGATGGATTAAAGACTTAAACATAAGACCTAACACCACAAAAACACTAGAAGAAAATCTAGGCAAAACCATTCAGGACATAGGCATAGGCAAGGACTTCATGACCAAACACCAAAAGCATTGGCAACAAAAGCAAAAATAGACAAATGGGACCTAATCAAACTCCACGGCTTCTGCACAGCAAAAGAAACAGTCATTAGAGTGAATCGGCAACCAACAGAATGGGATAAAATTGTTGCAGTCTACCCATCTGACAAAGGGCTGATATCCAGAATTTACAAAGAACTAAAACAGATTTACAAGAACAAAACAAACAAGCCCATTCAAAAGTGGGCAAAGGATATGAACAGACACTTTACAAAAGGAGACATACATGAGGCCAACAAACATATGAAAAAATGCTCATCATCACTGGTCATTAGAGAAATGCAAATCAAAACTACATTGAGATACCATCTCGCACCAGTTAGAATGGCGATCATTAAAAAATGTGGAGACAACAGATGCTGGAGAGGATGTGGAGAAATAGGAACACTTTTACACTGTTGGTGGGAGTGTAAATTAGTTCAACGTTGTGGAAGACAGTGTGGCGATTCCTCAAGGACCTAGAAATAGAAATTCCATTTGACTCAGCAATCCCATTACTGGGTATATATCCAAAGGATTACAAATCATTCTACTATAAGGACACATGCACACAAATGTTCATTGCAGCACTGCTTTTTTTTTTTTTTTAGGTTTTTTTTTTTTTTTTTTGAGACAGAGTTTCACTGCTGTTATCCAGGCTGGAGTGCAATGGTGCAATCTTGGCTCACCACAACCTCCGCCTCCTGGGTTCAGGCAATTCTCCTGCCTCAGCCTCCCGAGTAGCTGGGATTACAGACGTGCACCACCATACCCAGCTAATTTTTTGTATTTTTAGTAGAGACGGGGTTTCACCATGTTGACCAGGATGGTCTCGATCTCTTGACCTCGTGATCCACCTGCCTCAGCCTCCCAAAGTGCTGGGATTACAGGCTTGAGCCACCACGCCTGGCCTGCAGCACTGTTTACTATAGCAAAGACCTGGAACCAACCCAAATGTCCATCAATGATAGACTGGACAGGGAAAATGTGGCACATATACACCATGGAATATTATGCAGCCATCAAAAATGATGAGTTCGTGTCCTTTGTAGGGACATGGATGAACCTGGAAACCATCATTCTCAGCAAACTGACACAAGAACAGAAAATCAAACACCACATGTTCTGACTCATAGGCGGGTGTTGAACAACGAGAACACAGGGACACAGGGAGGGGAGCATCACACACTGGGGTCTGTTGGGGGGAAATAGGGGAGGGACAGCGGGGGGTGGGGAGTTGGGGAGAGATAGCATGGGGAGAAATGCCAGATATAGGTGAAGGGGAGGAAGACAGCAAATCACGCTGCTATGTGTGTACCTATGCAACAATCTTGCATGTACTTCACATGTACTCCAAAATCTAAAATGCAAAAAAAAAAAAAAAAAAAAACAAAGAAGGGCGTTACATAATGTTAAAGGGATCAATGCAACAAGAAGAGCTAACTATCCTAAATATATATGCACCTAATACAGGAGCACCCCAGATGCATAAAGCAAGTTCTTAAAGATCTACAAAGAAACTTAGATTCTCACACAATAATAGTGGGAGATTTAACACCCCACTGTCAATATTAGACAGATCAACAAGACAGAAAATTAAGAAGGATATTCAGGACTTGAACTAAGATTTGGACCAAACAGACCTAATAGACATCTACAGAACTCTCTACCCCAAATCCACAGAATATACATTCTTCTCAGCACCACATCACACCTACTCGAAAATTGACCACATAATTGAAAGTAAAACAAACTCCTCAGCAAATGCAAAAAAACGGAAATCATAACAAACAGTCTCTCAGACCACAGTGCAATCAAATTAGAACTCAGGATTAAGAAACTCACTCAAGAAATCGAAACTAATGGGGAAGGGGAGGGACCACTGAGAAGCATCCCAGCAAACTGGATGTTTCCCTGGACACCATGAACCACACTGTCCAAACCTTCTTCACTCCTGCCAGCACCGACCATCCCCCGAACTATGAGATGCTGAAGGAGGAACATGAGGTGAATGTGCTGGGGGTGCTCCACAACCCTGTGCCCCTGACATCCACCATGATCCACATCCAAAGTGAGACCTCCGTGCCCGACCACGTCGTCTGGTCCCCGTTCAACACCCTCTTCATGAACTCCTGCTGCCTGGGCTTCATAGCATTCGCCTACTCCATGATGTCTAGGGACAGGAAGATGGTTGGCGACCTGACTGGGGCCCAGGCCTACGCCTCCACCGCCAAGTGCCTGAACATCTGGGCCCTGATTTTGGGTATCATCATGACCATTCTGCTGATCATCATCCCAATACTGATTCTGCTAGCCTATCAGTAGATCCAGAGGAATCATCCTGGCCAGGGGCTCTGCCCATGACCTGTCTCTCATGTACTCCAGCTTCCATTCCTCGCCCTGCCCCAGCCGAGTCCCGTATCAGCCTTTTACCCTCACACACTTTTCTACAATTGAGTTCAATAAAGTGCACGTGTTCCTGGAAAAAAGAAAAGAAAAGAAAAGAAACTCACTCAAAACCGCAAAACTACATGGAAAGTGAACAACCTGCTCCTGAATGACTACTGGATAAATAATGAAATGAAGGCAGAAATAAAGATGTTCTTTGAAACCAGTGAAAATGGAGATACAATATACCAGAATCTCTGGTACACATTTAAAGCAGTGAGTAGAGGGAAATTTATAGCACTAAATGCCCATAAGAGAAAGGAGGGAAGATCTAAAATCAACACCCTAATGTCACGATTAAAAGAACTAGAGGAGCAAGAACAAAAAAAAAAAAAAAAAAAAAAAGAAGAGTGAAGAGGACTTGGAGAGGGCCATGTCCCAGAAAAGAACTTCAAAAGGAGGGAGAAAACAGTGCTGTTGTGAAGTGTCCATTGGATCTGGGGAAGAGTGAGATGGTGTGAAGGAAGGAGAGGAGATGGTGTGGTCAGGGTGCCGGCCATGTTCCACCACCACGTGTACCTCAGCACAGGGACTGCGGTGACCCTGCTGCCTGCATACTTGGTTCCTGATATGTTCTTGGAATGGTTTCTGTCGGCCAGGGAGCCACTCCTCAGCCTCTCTCATATTTAGTTTGTATCCTTGCAACAGAATGTAAGCATCATTAGAGCAGAGACATTCTTGGTTTGTCTGTTGCTGTATGACCAGTTATATAGTAGGGGCTCAGTAACTATTGAATGAATGAACCAGTGAACAAATGAATGTCTAATTGTGGTTCCTTCTTAGTTCCTTGAGCTGAACGTGGGAGATGAGCTCTGCAAGAACCTGGGGAGGCTCCCTCTCCAGCTGGTGGATGTGCATTATTGCTGGGAGGGGATTGAGAAACAGTTCTGATGGGGGAAGTTTAGCAGCTCAGGTTGATCTCAGACAGTCTGTGGCAGCCTGCTCCCTCTTGACTGAATGCAACAACACAAAAGAATGGGCTGGGGTTGTAGGGCACCCCTGGTCCTGCACAACGCCTCCCCACTTCATCCCTTGCTAGCCAAGGAGACTTTGAGGGGCAGCTCTCAGGGCACAGATCCTAGGGAGCCCATGGGGTGCCATTCTTTGGCCTTTGTCGCTGTGGCATCACATTGATCCTCAACCCCGGGGTCTGGATCACTCTTCCACTTCTAGTCTTCACTTGTCGGCCCAGTGCAAATCTGTTTTCAAATACTGGACAAGTCACCTCCTACAAACTGCCCAGTGGATTTCCTTAAATAGCAACTCATCTGTAGATCTTCTGGACAGTGGTTGGGTGTTAGGCATTCTTTTCTCTGTGTGGTTCCTGGCAAAAGACTCAGCATAAAGAGATATTCGTGCACAGGAAGTAAATGCAATGCTCCTGCATGAGATCCAGAGCTCAAGAGGTTGCTTCTTGTTTTCAGTCCTTTATGATGATCCTTGCTCTGCCTTATCTCATGCCGTTCTAATGTTTCCCAACACTTGAAGTCAGTTTTGCCCCAGATTTCTTCACCTTTCTGACTCCTAACTCCCTGAAGTCTCCCATGTCTTCTGTTTCTCAGCTTCTCATGTGGAACATTGTGTTTAAGCCACACTTTGGGGTCTGGAACACTGAGAACCTAAGCCCATTTACACTATGATCATTTCAGTTCCTGCCAACCAGCCCTGCTTTCATTCTGCAGCTACACTGTCCATTTTTCCATCCAGTAAGCCATTCATTCACTTGTTCCTTCTGCAACATGCAAATAGTACTTCCTGTAGGCCACATGTTATGCCAGATGTTGGAGACGAAAATGAAAACAACACAGTCACTGTCTCTAAGGATCTCTCAGTCTCCTGAGAAAGAGTAAGGTAAATGGATAAATACGAAGAAGGGAAACTGTTATGTAATAGAGAACAATGGGAGCCCCAAAAAAGAGCTGCCAGGTCCATAAAGGGGGTGGGGGTGGTGGGAGGGTGTAAAGGTATCAGAAGGGCTTCGGAAAGCAGTGCCTGTTTGCTGGACAGTCTGGAGGACAGGCATCTGGCTAGAAGAAGGTGGGGGAGTGCTACGTGGCTAGAGCCAAGAAACAGGACATTTTGACCTTTACCCTACAGCAAACTAATTTTTCAGCTTACAAAAATTTAGAACATCATTTTTTCCCACACATTTTCACATCTGTAGAAAAAATGACAATAGCAGTTGAACAGATCTCCATTTACCCTGAACTTGAACTTAGACTAACCAATTGTTAAAGTTTATTAAAGTTCGCCACATTCACTTTCTTGGTATCTGAGTTTTCTTTATTGGGCCATGAGAGTAAGTTGCACCCTCATGAAACCTTATTCGTAAACACTTCTACACTTCTGAAGATTTATACAGTATTTCCCAAGATTAAGGATATTCTCTTACCTATCATGATACAATTATCAGTCAAGAATTTTAACAAATGAAAGAATACTGTTATCTAATATGTTTTCCACATTTGAATTTTCCCATTAATGTCTTTTATAACTGTGAGTTTCAGCTTTTTATGCCACCATTTACAGGTCCCATCCCTGACATAGACCCTGTCCCATATTCTATCCCTAAGCTCATCCCTTTCCTGACCACTACATGGATGCATTCATGGCCTTTAGTTGAATCTATGTAGCAAGGACCACCTAGGGAAACTTCTACTTAGCTGCTAAAGCCCTTTTTTTTTTGAGTTGGAGTTTCGCTCTTGTTACCCAGGCTGGAGTGCAATGGCGCGATCTCGGCTCACTGCAACCTCCACCTCCTGGGTTCAGGCACTTCTCCTGCCTCAGCCTCCCGAGTAGCTGGGATTACAGGCACGCGCCACCATGCCCAGCTAATTTTTTTGTATTTTTTTTAGTAGAGACGGGGTTTCACCATGTTGACCAGGATGGTCTCGATCTGTTGACCTCGTGATCCACCCGCCTCGGCCTCCCAAAGTGCTGGGATTACAGGCTTGAGCCACCGCACCCGGCCTAAAGCCCTTTTTTTTTTCTTCGAGATGGAGTTTCGCTCTGTCACCCAGGCTGGAGTGCAGTGGTGGGATCTCGGCTCACTGCAACCTCCGCCTCCTGGTTCAAGCGATTCTCCTGCCTCAGCCTCCTGAAGAGCTGGAATTACAGGCATGCATCACCACACCTGGCTGCTGCTAAAGCCTTTGATTCTAGAATTAACATTCACTTTTTCTCTCTCTCCATCAAAAGCAAAATAATCCCAACTAACAGGAAACTTACAACTTTTAACTGAAAGGATACCTGTTGAACAAGAATGCTATATATGTCAGGCAAAGATAAATCAGGTCCAGGTTGTGGCAGGATTGACAGGTTAGCAGATGGTTGGCTCCCACTAGCCCTCTCTCTGTTCTCATCTGACCATAGCAGTCATCAAGAGTGAGGTCTTCAACCACTGGAATGCAACAACAACAGCAACAAAAACAAAAACTCAGAAACAAAATTCCAGCTTAATTGCTTGGATTATTTCTTCCGTTTCTGCAGAACACCAAGTGTGGGCACTGAAAAAGACTTCTAAACTTATGGGTCAGGCTGAACAGGAGATAGAATTGCGCTTGTAACAACACAGAGACCCTTTTTTCTTTTTTTGAGATGGAGGCTCAGTCTGTTGCCCAGGCTAGAGTGCAGTGGCGTGATTTCAGCTCACTGCAACCTCCGCTTCCTGGGTTCAAGTGATTCCTGTCTCAGCCTCCTGAGTGGCTGGGATTACAGGCGCATGCCACCACATCAGGCTAATTTTTGTATTTTTAGTAGAGATGAGGTTTCACCATGTTGGCCAGGCTGGTCTCGAATTCCTAATCTTAGGTGATCCACCTGCCTCAGCCTCCCAAAGTGCTCAGATTACAGGCATGAGCCCTGTGCCCAGCCAAAAGTTTCTTATATTTTTGTGGAATGAATGAGACAAAGAATGAGGAAGCCAGGAATGGACTGCATAGCAAGTAGCAGGAAAAGACAGTTTGGGATTGGTTTTAGCCATGCCATTATTACTTGGTATTACAGGTGAGCATAGGAGAAAACAGTAAGTTAAAGCAGAGAGCCTTTAAGGGTGAAATGTGTATATCCTGTTCCTTATCCTTTGTTGTGACATCTCTACAGCAGCTTTAAAACTGTATCTGCATTGGCTGGGTATGGTGGCCCATGCCTGTAATAGCAGCATTTTGGGAGGCTGAGGTGGGTAGATCACCTGAGGTTAGGAGTTTGAGACCAGTCTGGCCAACATGATGAAACCCCATCTCTACTAAAAACATAAAAATGAGCTGGGTGTGGTGTCAGGTGCCTGTAATCCCAGCTACTCAGGAAGCTGAGGCAGGAGAATCGCTTGAACATGGGAGGCAGAGGTTGCAGTGAGCTGAGATTGTGCCATTGCACTCCAGCCTGGGCAACAGAGCAAGACTCCATCTGAAAAAAAAGAAAATATATATATGTGTGTGTGTGTATGTGTGTGTGTGTAGGCATCTTGTAATTTATATTTAATCAAAATAAGATTCATTCGTTCATTCAGTCATTCCTTCTTGGAGATACAATTTCTGCTCCACTCTGGACTGATTGTTCCTGCTATTTTATTCTGAACTTCTCTTTAACATCCTTGGGAATTCCCTTTGCCTTTCTGTTTCCTGGATCCCATACCTTCCTCTTCCTTGGCTTAGTTCTTTATTCCAGTGGCCCCTAAGTGAATCCTGTTTAGGATTTGTTTATTTTTTGTTCTTTCACTGCCTGCAACGTGTACTTGCTACACTCTAGCAAGCTCATCTTCTAATCCACATTTTTCTGCCCTCTAACTTAAACTAACAGCCCCTTCACAGCTTCTAACAACTAGTGCTTAATTAAAACAAATCAACATACCCCCGGTGAAGTTCCTCATTAATGGCATAAACTGAAATGCCAAGTAACACTACAGGTCAGACACAAAAGATTCATAGTTACACTTACAGCTTTTATAGTCTCAGCCATGGTCATCCTGGCAACTGCCAACGTGGCAGTGGCATCTATTACTAAGCCAATACAAACAGCTGCTTTTATAAATACTCTGGCCAGAAATATGGAAAAGTGTGCAAGATTATCTCTCCTGGTGAGACCCCCATTTCTGGGAGTTGCTCTTTGACTAGAAAAGACTGTTGCTAATTGT